CCAATATTTAGCTTCATTATTGATCTGGAGTCCGTGTAGCGTCATCGCTTGCTTTCTCTTTTAGAGATTCGAAATCCGCTACAGTTGCCTCCTACGTATTATCTCCTCGTATCTTTCTTCTTTTCGCTTCCCGGAGCTAGTCTATCTATCGACTTATCTCTCTCTCCGTCTGAGTGGGATTTAGTAGTTGTAATCCAGAGCTGCGCTTGTAAGTGAACAACAACAATAACGATAATAAATAAATTAAAAAAGGGTCTGAAAGAAATCAAAACAAAACAAAAGCTAAATCTACACTCGGACCTATCTACAAGTAGTAAGTACTTACTTAACAAGTATACCTTTAGATATGAATTATGGAGTAACTTTCCAACTGATCATCATGGATCAAGTGTTGCTTTCCCTTTTTCATTTTTAGCCTCTGATGATCCCGTTGAAATCTCTGCAGGTACGGTGTAGTTCAGTTTTCGTTCTATACATCAGCTCCTTCTTACCGCGGAAAGGGCTTATTGTGCATCCCCCCTCAGACCCGGAACCGGGTACGGAGAAGTACGGGAATTAGCCAAGGAGTTACTTAAGTTACTACTGACAGGCATTAACTATTATTATTCTCTCCTCTCCTCTCCTCAATCATGACATGACATGACATGACACTCGCACACACACACATACCCCTGCACCTGCACCTGCAGATAAATTGAGAGGATGGTAGTCACACATGTGTTGCCTACCTCGTCTATCCTATATCGCCCCTTAATTTGAGAATTGGGACAGACTTCTGATGAAATGGTAGGGTCCAAATCTGATCTCATATCATCACAGCCGTACTATGTAAAAAAGATGGTTAGTCTATATGACTGGTAATAGCCACCACGAGCAGAGAACCCGGATGGAATTTAGTAGTTCTAGAAGAGCTCTTCTTTCACCGACCAAGTAATTTGCATCGTAAGCAATGCAATAACTAATCACCTACAGGACAAAAAAAAAAGTGACATATTTAATTAATTAACAGACGGAACGGATTCCATAAGTTCCTTCCATTCATTCATCCATTGCAGCGGGGAGGAAGGAAGTCAAGACGGAGTGACTCGGCACTTTGCATAGTAATTAGTACTTCCACAATATGAATACGGGAAAAAAAGAAAGACGTATCCGCCCGAACAACTCTACTAAGATAGATATATATCACTTCGACATATCACTTATTTATATATGAAACCTGGCTTTTTTTTTTTTCTTGAATAAACAAATATACAATATATATTCTGCACATCCCAATTGAATAGAACACCTAGATAAATAAGATAGATGGTAATTGATTGATTGATTGACCAGTCTACTCAAAACTTGCCCCCCATGGCGCGCGCGCGGGATCGGCACATAAGCCCGTCATTTTCCGTCCTCGGGATGAGTCGAGGCCTAGTTCTAGAACCTTGAGTCTTTTTCCTTTACCTTGGCTTGGAATAATGAAACGCCCGTTCAAAAAATGACAAAATGGTGGTTACTTTGTTACTTGAGGTTGCAGGTTGCAGGTTTGTGTGTGTGAGTGTGAGTGGTCTGATGTCATGGCGGTCCTTTGTGTGCGAAATCGATCAAATCAGATGATAGTGATTATGTTCTAGAAATTTATTCCCCCATCCAGATGCATCACATCCATTTACTGCGCCACCAGTATACTTCCAACTATCTTATTCTGCCATTTTCGATCATTTTGTGTCGGTAGGTTCGGTAGGCACATGATAACTATTAGTATGACTGCTCCATTCATCAATCAATAGTAACATTCTTGAGGTTCACTGGTTCACTTACTTAAGTCAGTGGCATAGCCAGATCTCCTACGGAGTACAGTGTCTACTAGGCAGTCTGCTCAAGACCTCATGTTCAGCCATTTACACCATCAGATCCATCCAATGACTCGTAGGAACTCATTAGCGTGGGGACACTCGAACATGATTCAAGCAGGCAAGCAAGCTACAAGCCAAACTTCGTTCGCCCTGCCAAATCAACAATCAACAATCCACAATCCACCCTTTGGCCATCGCTGACGTCACGGGATCCATCCAGTCTACGATTGAAACCTGAAGCCCATACTGTACTACTGCTTATGGATTAGCTACAGAAGTGATCCACAGTGCCCAAAGAGAAGTAATATCCTGAACCTTACCTCTACCCCTCCCCAATATCTAAATCTTAATTGTTACCTAAAAATCATCATTCTATCCCATCCCCCAAAAGATAAACACCGAAGTATAAACTGTAGCCAGGAATGAAACCAAGGTAAGCTAGATAGTTTAGTGGGCGGTGGTGGTTGTTGTTGTTGTTGTTTCATCGTCAGCCTCAAAAACTAGACTGACGATCAAACTTACCCTATTCTACCTTCCATCCCCCCACTTACTCTTCTCACTAGACGGGGCAAAGTTACTCAATACAGTAGCTTAGCACTACAATATGGTTTTTGGTTTGTGGTTAGGTTAAGCTCTGAAACTTCCCAGAAACGAGAGGAAGACAAACCGTACAACAAACACGTGGGGGCGTGAGAACTGCCCAGCAAAGGGGGGAGGCCGGGGGGGGGGGATTGTTTCAGGGTTGAAGTTTAATTACTATATACTTGTGCTCATGGTAGCTTGGATGGAATTTTAAAAGAATATTTATGTTGCGTCATGAACGGTGATTGAGTACTGGATAGTCGCTGATTTTACTAGAGTGAGGAGGTTTTGTGGCATTGGCTGGATAAATATGATACTGCTTCTCGGTAAGTCTAAATTGGAATCATAGTGTAGTTACGGGAAGAACTTGTCATTTATTGTACAGTTATTTGTTGTTCGTGTTGCATCACATACAGTAGTACTCGAGGTGGAAGGGTAGGGTGGGAGGGGATGGATGTGTTGTTGGAGGTGTGTGCATACTGGCAGGGCGTACTACTGATCTGCTTTGCTGCTGTGGGTGTTCGTAGATACTTGCTTTTACCCAAGACAAGGTGCAATTAGCTGTTCATTTAATTGATTCTATGGAAAAGGAAGTTTCTAGTGGAGTGTTGAGAGAATTGCAGATGTTCTGATGCTTGAGAACTTTGCCTTCTGTATGGTCTTGTGCTTATTGGTAATGTAACAGGGATCATAGATTTTATTATGGTGCGTTAAGCAATCTCACTGCATATATATCGTGCCTGCCGTTCATCGTCATGATAAATACGATTATAGTATACATAGTTTGTACTCTGTACTCTGTGGGTGATGCCAATCTACCGTCCAACATACTTCAACTCCAACTTCCGCAAGGGGATATACGATAGGCTGGTAAAGACAAACGCCAGCTCATTGGCAATGTCTCCACCATCGGTACCGATCTTGCGCGCCAGCGCTCCAACATAATATGTTTCGTCCATGCCGACGATCCATCCGGCCGCACCGCACAGGAACGCCGTGAGACCGGCGTACCCGACGGGCAGTTTCGACGGCGTGTTCCAGGCGTCGAGGTCATAGTTGGCCAGGTTGCCGTTGCGGAAAAAGTAATGTTCGCAGAACAGAATGACAAAGAAGGAGGTGTTCCAGTAACCCAAAAGGGAGAGGAAGTTATCCAGGACAGTCAGCAGGTGGTCCCGGCCTGCGATACCAATGACAAGAATGCAGGCGAAAACGAGGAGCGTCCAGATGATTCGAGGGATCTTCTGGAACGGCTTGGCGAATAGTTGCGCAGAGAGTGATCCGGCGTAGATGGCAATGCAGTTCATACCGACTATAGTTTGATTAGCGGCGGTTACGGCATGAGATAAGTGAGTGTACTTACTACCACACAGCACCAAAAGCACCAAGAGGAATTTAGCAAATTTGCGGGGATAGATGATGGTCTGCAAAATCTCTCCGGTTCCTTCGTCATAGGCAGCAGCCCATTCTGGGTTCCCATCCAGAGCAGATGCAATGCACGCACCGAGCAACATTCCGACACAAGTGGGGAGTGAGATACCCAAGGTGGTGTAGATGAAGACCTTGACCTTGGAGGTGTTGACCGGGTAATGCACATAAAAGTCGGACACGATCGAGCACCACGATGCACTCGAGCCGTAGATAACGCTGATCAGGCTCAGAACGTTTCCAGACTTGGTCAACCCGGACACGGTCCCGGGATCTGAAAGGCTGGCATGGTGAGCCGCTTCACCATAGACGATGATGAAGACGACGAAGGAAACCATCCAGATATATTGCTCAATCGTCATGACAGCCTTGAGACCGAAAAAGCTGAAACACAGACTGACGCAAGCAACGATGACGACTCCCACGACCATGGAGATGTGATTGTCCGAAACAGCGCGAAGAGCTTGACCACCGGTGATGCAACTGACAGAGGCCCAGCCCAGCTGTTCGACGACATTCAGCGCCGCGATGATGGACGAAGGGTAGAAGCCAAAGGAGTATCTAGAGATGGCGACCTGACGAAGGCCAGTGCCGGGGCCCATTGTGGCACACCAACCCTAGTGAACCGATATGTAAGCCTTTAGACAGACCAGAAGCTGAGTGCGCAGCATTGCGTCGCAGCGGGAAAAGAGGTAGAGTAGAGAAAGTGGTATGCGAACCGTGAGAGCAGCGCCCAGAAACGTCGCGCATATCATAATGGCGATCGTCTGCCCTAGGGTTAAGCCAAATTCCTTCCCCATAAAGCCCGTACTGAAACAACTGAGGTTCATAGTGGCCGAGGCCCAGATGAAGGCCATGGCGAGGGTGTTCGGCGGTTTGCGATCTTCGGGCAAGACTCGGTCGAGACTCTGGGACTCGACGCCCATTTTCCGATCCAACAGCTCTTCATAGTAGCGGATGCGGGCAAAGAAACCGCTAGGTTTGACCAGGGCATGTTCCTCCACCGAAGCCGTGGCCTGCTTCGGTTCGATGGGGTTGCCATCCTCAACGGTTTTGAAATCCATCCTGAAGAGGAGGGGCAAGGGGGGAGGGGGGAGGGCGAGAAATTGCGGGGAGAAAGAAGCGGCAGCAGAGCAAGGGAGGAGGAGAGAAAATAAGGGCTCACGAGACACCTCTTGTGCTCAACGTCTTCCCCAGAAAACAGGTGTTCGAGGCTGCAATATATTTGTAGGCAAAAATTGCCATTGCGCTTGAAGTCGGCGATGAATGGGGTATCGCAGACCTCGCTAGTCGTGCCAGATTGGTCGTTGTTTTTTTATCTTTGGCCCTCACAGCAGGTCGGCCTATTATTTGTGGAACAGGGTTTTCTTATCACAGATTGCCCCAGTCCGTGTCTTTTTAGTGCCAACCGGGCGAGACATGGTCAGATAACACTTGAAAACCTTTTCCCGCAAGTTGCGGTGCTGCTGGGCGAATTCGGCCAAGTCCGAAGTGACTATATTGCTCCAGTGCTATTCGGGTTTGATAACAGGGTTACCACTGGAATTCAGGGTTATATTTCCATGCCAGAGAAGCATAGAAAAGCCTCGGGTTTCTCTCTCCATGCGAACAGTTGCCATCGAAGCAGCATATCTCCGTTAAGGTTTCTGGTCCACTTCGGCCCAGCCTTTAGTCGCGCGTGCTTGTGTTGCAGTGAGTGGGTCAGGGGATTCGGGTGAGAGCAGCAAGCAGTCAACCACTACTACTGTGATATGTTTACTCCCTACTCGAGATATAAGGAATTGCTCGCAGTGGTAGATGGTGTTATCATCTTGATTTTGATATACTATGTTTTCTGGAATTTTGTGGGCGAAATTGGCATCAGCCCACACCGTATGGTGGCCAAGCCTACAGATGGAGACCACAAGTATATGCCAAGGCAACAACAAAATACTACTTGAACTTCAACATCCTTGCTGAAGAACATGAAGTGAAATGTGTAACCGTCCTAACTTCCTAGGTGCTTGTTTTGCCACCCGCCAGCTGTCACTGCTAAAGGGCCAAGACAAGCCTGGACCAATCCTTTTCCTGCTCCAGACTCATTCTCCAAAAAGAAATTCATCAATCAACTCTTGAGATAATAATGAATTATGCTGTTTCGATCTCTGTATGAAGGGATAAACAGCACTGTCTCCGTTAGGATGATTGGCTTAGTACTCAGCCGACCCGGTTTAAGATTCATAATACTGCGTGCCCTTGTCCAGTAAACCCAGTACATTCATACATTGCGGTTGTTCTTGGGTTGTTCTAGAAGCAAGCGCCGTATACAGGTGTTTTGGTGCGGAACCAAACGGGTGCATTATACTCATTCACAGAGACATTGAACCCCATATTGTCTCTCATTATAAGCTAGCTAGCTACCCTCCCTCAATTTGGGTCACCGCGGTCCATGATAATGTCATCTCAATAGAGTGCGTCCATAATGATGCACAGTCAGTGGTCCGTCGACCTCCAAGCATGCGGTGACTCTCCCACTATACGGACCAGCTACCAAAATTGCAGATGATCAACCTATACTATTGTGGTGGAATCGAGCAAAGGACATGGATTCACTACCCATGCGTGCATTGGAGGCGTCTCCGCTGGTGGATCGGACAGGCAGAACTCAGCCTCAACCTGCAAGCCGGGCGCACTATCCCAACACACCAATCACCTCCAATCGAGCCATGCCCATTGGGGGAATCGGGATTATCAGGAAAATGGTGCCTCGTTGGTGGTAGAGTTCATGATGGCATGGCCATAGTAGGTGACGGAATTGACGCACTCTCCGCAACGGCGACCAAAACGTTGCTGGCAATCTTGTGTTGTTTTGGGTAATGATCGGTCAAGTCATGGCGGGTCAGATTGATGTCTTGCAGTTGTAATCCATCGAAAAGCACCAACAGGCACCCGTGAAGGGAAAGTAAAGCAAAGCAAGTTGACGGTGGGTGTGGGATTTTCCAGAAAGTCCATAAGGTTGACAGAGAAAGAGACGGCGGCTCCGCCCATCAGCCCGAAAGGGAATGACTTCCTCCCCCGGCCTTTCCAACTTTCCTCTCCGACCACTCGGGCTTGTTGTCTGTCCTCTTCTTCCTCTTCCCTCTTCTTCCCTCTCTCTTCTCTCTTTCTCTTTCCCTCCCCCATCTCCAGATTCTCTCCGTGGCTATCGTCTCCCCTCTGGATTGTGTCAATTACATTGACCCCCTCCTCCTCCTCCTTCTTCTTCCTCTCCATTCGCCTCTTCTCTCTCCCCCTCCGCTCATCCTTTCCCATCCTCCTTCTCCGCCTTTCCACTTTTAGTCTTTTGTTTCCTCTTCTCTCTCTCCCACTTTCCCCCCTCATTATCTCGGCTTAATCTTGGGACACACCTTCACCATAAATACTTTCTTCGCATTTAGCCTCTGCTGGTAGCAATTGAGCTTTTCCCTTCTTGACTACATTTTTGCGGCCCCAGGCCATTTATTCTTTTTGGATCACTAGCTCAACAATCATTGGGTACTGTTGAACGTCTGTTAACAGCCAGCTATAATCTCATCAACTCGCATTACTTGTCGGTATGTCGGAGCACCTTCCAGACTATCAATTGGTCTCTTCTAACGTCACCCGGAACTCAGCAATAGTCTCCTCCTCCGTCCCTCTCCGTTCGAGATCTTCCCCGAGTCCACCGATCGTCCCGCTACCATGGCTTCCGAAGTGTCGAGTGTCAATGTCAACGGCGGTGCCAAGTCCCGGGCTGCCATGCTGGAAGAGCAGCATGCCCGTGATGAGGCGCACAAGGTTACCGTGGAAGATGTTGTCGATGAAGAGGATGTGAAGCACCCCCCTCCGTCCACCTCGGTGACCGAGGCCGAGTCCTCCACTCCGGCGCAGACCCCGGCCCCAACCGCCTCTCCAGCCCCCAAACCAGCTCCCAAGAAGTCACCTGCTCTTGATGTCCAGTCTGAGGAACTCTTCCCGGCTCTTGGAAGTGGTCCGAAGCCCAAGGTCCCCGCCGCCTCTGCTTGGGGTGCCCGCGGTTCCGCCGCTGCTGCCGTCGCCAACAGCGCTGCCAGCGGCGCACAGGCTGGTATGTTTTACCCGCTCCATTGTTTGAAATTCGCATCGTTATGCTGATATATTCCTGAACTAGCCCCCGGTGGTTTCGGTTCTGAGGTTCCCAGGATCATGAGTCTGCCCGGAAAGCACATGGAACAGCTCCGGTTGGCGCCCTCGCAGATGCTCCCTCGAGGCCAGCTCAAGAAGCCTCTGCGCGATATCCTGCGCGATATCTCTAAGCGATCCAAGGCCAATGTCGACATGCGCGGCGGACCCGGTGGCTCCATCATCTTCGAGGGTAAAGGCTCCGTGGATGCGGTCAGGCAGGCCCTGAAGGAAGTCGCTCAGCAGGTCGGATCCAAGGCATGTATTTCCGTTGTCGAGGTTTGGGGTGGATTGTCGACTAATGTCTTTCCATAGCAATCGGTTCGCGTTCCGATTCCTACATCCGCTCGGCCTCACATCATCGGACGCCAGGGTGCCGTCGTTCAAGACATCCAGCAGCGGACAGGCGCTCGTGTGCAGGTACCTCGCGCCGAGGAATCTGCTCCTGGAGCGGACGATGACGACAGTGACACTATCGATGTCCTGATTGAGGGTGATGCTGTTGCGGCCGAGATGGCTCGTCGGGAGATTGAAGCGATCGTCAAGGAGCGCGCCTCCAACATGAGCCTGCGCCTCAAATCCGTCCCGCCGGAGTTCTTCCCCTTCATCGCCGGTGCTCACAATGCCAACCTCAAGGAAATCGAGGAGCGTACCAAGGCGCAAGTGCATATCCCCCGATACGACACCTGGCAGAGTCAGCCTCCGCCTCAGGAGGCTGATCCGGGTCACATCCAGTTCGTGCCGGTTCCCGAGAAGCACATCCACATCTCTGGTGAGCGTGCGGCCGCTCAAGAAGCTCGCGCGGAAATTGAGAGACTTGCCGCCGACCTGCAACGCCAGCTCACGCTTCGCCAGCTCGCCATCAACCGTGGCCAGCATCAGTTCATCCTTGGCGACAATGCCGATGCTCTGCACGAATTCCTTGCTGACACTGGCTGTGCCATTGTCCTGCCTCCTGCATCCGACGAGAGCGAATTCCTCACCATCACGGGTCCGCTTGACTGCATCGAGAATGGTATCAACCGGGCCATGGATCTTGCCACCAGCATGCAGATGGCAAGCATTGACCTCTCTCGTCAGCACCCCGGTGCTCCCATGGGTCCCCACGCCCATGCTCGTGCCCTGACCCAGTACCTTAGACAGCGTCAAATCATCAAGGAGCTGGAGAGAATGTATGACGCACGGATCGCCCTTCCGCCCAGCTCGGACGGTCCTGTAACCTGGGAGGTCTACTCTAGAGATGGCAAGAACACCATTCGCGCAAGATCCGATATCATGAACTTGGTCCAGGCTCACCCTCCTACGAGACTTCGTAGCCTCGCGGTCGACCCCTACTTCCACCCTTACCTGCGCTCTCGGAGCATTCCCAAGTTGCGGAGTGACTATGGCGTTCACCTTCTTGTGCCTGATGAGCTTGATAGCTCCGACGTGGTCTTGGTGTATGAAGGTCCTTCCGCTTCTGCTGCTCAGGTCGAGATTCCTCGTCAGAGACCTTCTGCCGCTGAACTTGCTACCTTCGAAAAGACCCTCCAGGAAGCTCAAGAGTATCTTCTGAGCACTCTCGGTGACCAGAACGATGTCGTGGCGACGTCTGTGAGCGTGCCCGGCAAGTACCAGGACAAGATTCGCAAGTTCATCTCCCGTCAACAGGAAGCGAAGAGTGAGGACGAGATCCCTGTTCGCGCCATTGTCGGAGATGGACGTAACCGCAACGAGTCCGAGGTTGCACTTCGTGGACCCTCCCGTCTGGTGGAGGATCTTGCTTCGAAGATCCAGGCGTTTGTTGTGGAGCAGGAGAAGGATGACCTCGAAAGAGGATACACCACATCTTTCGACTTCCCCCAGAAATATGCCAACTTCCTGATTGGCAAGCGCGGTGAGAACATCAACAAGCTCCGTGACGAGTTTGATGTCGACATCAAGGTCGAGGGGGGTAAGGTTGAGGTCAAAGGACCCAAGGCCAAGGCCGATGCTGCCAAGGCTAGAATTATCAACCTGGGCAAGAAGTTGGAGGATGAGACCACTCATGTTCTGAAGGTTCCTGCCCAGTATCATCGGGAATTGATTGGCCAGAAGGGAAATCAGGTCAACAAACTGCAGGACCGCTACTCTGTCCGTGTGCAGTTCCCACGTGCTGCCGTGGCTGCTACGACCAGCGATGACCAGTCCGTCGCCGAGACTTCTAGCGACGCAGGTGGCTCTCGCCCCAACCGCCCTCAGCAGGCGCTGGATGAGGTTATCGTCAAGGGTCCCAGCAAGGGTGCTGATGCTGCACGCGATGAAATCCTTAGCTTGCTTCAGTGGGTGATTGACCACTCCTACACGGCCACAGTGTCTGTCGCTCAAGCGCAAATCCCCTCCTTGATTGGCCAGCGCGGTCGTGAGATGGACAAGCTCCGCGCCGACACCGAGGCCCAGATTGATGTTCCGGGAGTCAACGATGCTCCGGATGAGTCGGGCCGTGTGCAGATCAAGATCAGAGGCACCAAGAAGCAGGTTGAGGAGGCAAAGAAGATCCTGGGGCAGCGGTCTAAGGAATTCGACTCCATCGTTACGAAGACGATTGACGTGGACAAGAAGTACCACAAGTCGCTCATTGGTGGTGGTGGTGAGTAATCTGTGCCCATTCTTACCAAGGTAGCATGAGTAACTAACAGTTGCGCAGGTGCCAACATCCGCAAGATCGTCGCTGAGGCTGGTGGCCCCACCGATGGCAGTGCTTCCCGCATGGTCAAGTTCCCTCGTCCAGAGAGCAGTGACTCGGCCATCAAACTTGAAGGAAATGGCCAGGTGGTTGAAAAGATCATCGCTGCGATCCAGGACTTTGTCAAGGAGCGTGAGGATCAGGTGACCACGACCGTTGAGGTTCCTCCGTCTCAGCATCGTCTGCTCATTGGCCGTGGAGGTGAGACCCGGCGCGGCATTGAGTCCAAGTTCAACATCACGCTCGACATTCCTAAGCAGGGATCCGGACGCTCGGACATTAAGCTGAAGGGACCCAGCAACGCAGTCGCGGAGGCTAAGGAGCACATTGAGTCCATGCTCAAGGATCAGCAGGGTGAGACTGTGGAAGTTCCCCGGAACCTGCATCATGCTATTTCTGAGAATGGCTCTTTCTTCCGTCGCCTGCGCAACGACTACCGCGTTACAGTGGACCATGCCGGGCAGCAGGTGCCTCCCAAGCCTGCCTCCGAGGACTCCCGCGGTGCAGTCAACGGTTCCTCTTCTCTCCCCTTGATCACAGATGAGCCTAGCGAAGCCGTGGAGGCTCATTCATGGAAGATCGTGGACAACAGCCCGGCCGCTGCCGATCCCTCCGAACCGGCGACCATCCCGTGGGTGCTGTCGGGAACCAGCGACAATGTCGCCAAGGCCAAGTCGGCCCTGGAGAAGGCTATCGCCAATGCTTCCCAGCAGTCCGCTACTGGCTACCTCATCCTGCCTGACCCGAAGACTTACCGCTTCGTCGTCGGCCAGGGTGGTAGCCAGATCAACGCGATCCGCAAGCAGACTGGCTGCCGGATCAATGTGCCCAAGGACCAAGCCAAGGGCGAGGCGATCGAGATCAAGGGAAGCAAGGAGGGCCTGGAAGAGGCCAAGGATATGATCCTGGAGGCTGTCCGCGCTGGCTTGAGCGGCAACTCTCGGTCATAAGGGGAGGAAGGCCGTTAGGTGATTTTACATATATCCAGAGTGATATATGAGAATCGTCGAGCGACCATGATATCTTTTCTTTTCTTATAATCTCCTTTCCTTCTATCTTTGTCTTATGTGCTCTCTCTCACCAAAAGAAGACTGTGTTATACATCTACTACATGCATTTGCTGGGCGGTTGACGAATTGCATAACCTGCCTCGAATATCCTGTGATTAGGCCTCACTCCTCTTATAAATATTATCATATGCATTACATAATTGTCCAAATATCAAAAGCTTAGAATATTACTGGGTATGCTACTAGATTTATTGTCATTGTAGAAACAATTGTATATGCAGAAGTCAGAATTGAATCAAGTTGAACCCAAACAGCTAGCATGTTTATGTTTCAGATTTCATGTAATCATGAATCTATGACAGCTCTTTCTCGGCTACCAAATCACGAAAAAGTACACAGCATAAGCATCCGTGACAGTGCACTCTAATTGGAACGAGAACAGGGGGATTCCATGAAAAATAAGAAAGGGTATCTGCATTGGGTATCACCCAACAGCCCCCTAATGCTGATGAGAAAAGTAGCAACAGGTAACTAGCCGAAATCGACCGGTCCAGGAAGAAATGACCGTTTTCCAGAACAGGGGGCCAAAATGTAGATCACGGATCAAATGAAGAGGGGGAAATGGGAAAGGCTTTCAGTTCGTATGGGATTCATCTCTTTTTGTTTGAGTTTATTAATTATAATAAGAAAAAAAAAATAAAAATAAAAAGGGATATCGTTTACTGCGTCTCAGCGGCGGAAGCATTCTGGAGGTATTGGTAGGCGAAGTAGGCGATCAGACCACCGACCAGGACGATGCCGTAGAGACCGACACCCATGCCGGCGCTGTCGCCGGAGCCCGAGGGACCGGAGGAAGACTGGGGTTGAGAGCGAGGAGCAGGGTCACCGGGCTGATGGAATTGTGTTAGTGTGAGTGAAAGACTTGTCTTGCGAGTTGGCTTTTTGTCGTCTGACGTACCATGCGCTTCAGCTTACCGACCAGGAGACCGTCCAGGATCTCACGGGCCTCGTCACTGTGTCCGACATCTTCGAAGGCCTCGGTGCCGTCCTGGCCACCGACGTCGAGGAGGACTTCCTCACCACCACTGTTGTTGAGGGCAGATTGTGTTAGCTTGATTTACTTCTTTGATCCGACGGAGTGTTTCCTTGCGCGATTTGTCTCATTGCTTTTTTGAGGGGTAGAAGGCAAGTATAACCTCTGAGGCGAGGGGGGGGTGAGAGGCTCAATTGGGAAGGGATATGCATGTGGAAAATGAACAGTGGTGAACGTACGGGTGCTCATCGACGAAGGAGGTGCAGTCGTAGACCTTGTCGTGGATGACCATGTAAAGGTCCTTCTTGGTGTTGTGAGCGCTAACCTCCTGGAAGGTAAATTCCTTTGCGTCGGCCATGGTGTTGTAGCTGTGTGAATCAAGAATGTGAAAGTCAGCGACTGACAAAGCCAAGGTGATTAATCGGTGAGAGCAGAGGAAGGGCTTAGGTGATAAGCAGGGGATTTCGGGGACAGTTCCATGATCGTAATACTGTCCATGGATCTTGACTTCATGCGATATGGTATAGAGCGAAGTGACAATGCGCGAGTAACAATTCCAGAAGCGTAAGCCACCCCCGAGTCCCGCCTGTCTGGAGGGTGTGTACCTCGGAATGTAGAAAACACCAGATCGCAAGGGAGAAGAAATGCGATAGGGCGGAGACTCACCGAAGATTCAACAAGAATGAGATTAAAGGTACGGAGGTACAAAGGCTCAAAAGAGGCAGATCACAGAAGACGATCTAGACGAGAGAAGAATAGAGAGACTAGAGATGAACCCGAGGAAGGAAAAAAAGAGGGAGTGAAAGAGAAAGAGAGAAGAGGAGAAGGAAGAGGAGGAGGAGCGAGAAGGAAGCCGAGCAGATGGGAAAGACTGTCGGTTCCTTAGGCAGCCCCCCTTGGCGCCTGTGATTCGACAGCGTCTCCGCCTTCCAACTGGATGGACCTCCAGGAACATTATTCCAATCCCAAACACAGGAGCCGTGGCTGCCATCCGGCCACCTGGGGATTTACCGGGTTGCCGGCAGCCTGCTCCCTAGTCGTATTCACATTTCACCGATTATCACTACTACTGCCTACTGTAATGCTATCTTCTACACTACGTACTCCGATCGGACTCACTGCACTCAATTCTCAACCTGTTCCCAAACAGGCAATCCTGAAAAGTGGCCTGATAGGGATGGCCTCTTCTCCGCCAATCACAACCAGCTTATTCCCAGCTTAGTCAGTGTATTTCATGCACTAGTCCTGATGGGGCAGAGTGACTAGAACGGGCCGTCGATCAATAATCAGAAATTATGCCGGTGGATTAGTGAATTGATGATGTTGTCTAGATGTTGCATATGGGTTTTAGATGTTGTCTTGGTCTTCAGGATCTTTTTACCTGATTTGGTGTATGTGCTGTAACTGCCTATCCTACTATAGTACCTAGATTCTCTCCCCCTCCTCCGTTATCAGATGGTTGTCATGATTCTTTTCCAATTATTCTAGCAAAAAAAGAAGATTAGCCTATCTCGCTCCACTGAAAATCAAAACCTCGGAATAACCTCCGCGGGGGGGAGAAGTTACACAACAAATGTAATTTGGTTGACCTTTTTCGGTGACTGACTTTGCCTACCGTTTGCTCCACCACCCTCCACCACCTTATTGTGGTGTGACAGCCCATTCCAAGTAAAATTCACCTTTCTAGATGGTATTTTACAATTCCGCGATACTTTGAGAATCCGCTATTTATTACTTCATACGTATTTGTAGAATAATATCATCCATAGTATATACAATCAAGCTCTATATGGTGTAGTAAATACATGATAGTAACTAATCACCTATGTAATGATCATAAAATTCAATTATTTCATACTCTGAAACCAAATTCCGTAATTCCGCCCATCTACTACGTATCTACGTAAATCCCGACCCTGCGATCCCTCGATAGCCGTAACCTCGGGGAGGGGATCTGGTCGGGTAGCGCCGTCGGGATTAACTGCCCCAGTTGGTCACTCATTCTTTCCCCGCCTTTCCTTCCCGCGCGGAATGTTACTCCTCCTTGGGAGAATATCCATACTAGAGTATCTTCCGTGTCCTCCGTAGTGGATATCTACTAGATAGGGAACTTCTATCAATGATTCGGCGATATTGTGGGGTTCTAGAATGTTCCTCATCACTTAGTGGCCAAGAAGTATCCAATGCTGTCTATCTTCTGCAAGTAGTTGAAAACTAAATATCTATACATCCCATATCGCTTTAGGAAACCTAAGTGAAATGGGTAATCAATGATGGAAATAAATCAATGGCCCAGCCAGCCAGCCCATTCCATGTCAACATGTCTTGCTCAAATAGGTATGGTTGATGATGCAAATAAAGAAACAAAATAACAAAGGATATATAAGTAAGTTCGTTCCATGCTGGAAATCAAATTCATCCCTCATGTAAGTCCGTGTCATCGTCTCCCATTGCAATCGCAAAATATGATCAGAAAGAAAAGAAACCCCGGGTATATGAGAAGACGTCACCTGTCCCAGTGCAACTCTTACCCATGCCAAAGCGGAATCAACGCTACATCATAGTCCGTTCCCTAACCACCAGGCAGAGGTGGGCCGTGAGGGGATGAACAAAGAAAAAGGAAAAGAAAATGAGACCGTTATATAAGGAAGACGTCCACCCCGTCTCTCTGCCCCTTTACTTGGCGGGCACCCGCTCGTAGAAGACAATATAGGCTTGTTCGTTCTGCAGCCGGTCTTTCGATCGCAGATCGCGCGGGTTGAAATCGGTCACCCGCTCGTCATCGAATCGTCGCCAGCATTGTCGCTGCGCATCTCGCACCAGAGAGATGTAATGCCCGCTGCCCATCGAGGACCCGATATGCCGCAAGACTCCGTACGCATCGTACGTGAACGGAGGCACCGTCGCCGCGATCGGGTCGTGGGGTAATCCGTTGGTCTGCCCCTGATTATATGCCGAGAAGACAAAGTCATCCATCCGGAGTCCGTGCAAAGGGAAGTCGATAGGCGTATGGATCTTCCGTGCAGTCTGGGTCTTCGACGCCGAGAACCGCTTGAAGTGGACGACCAAGATCTGCGGCGCCCGCGTGATAATGATCTGTTTGGTGGCCACTCGTTCGCACTTGCAGTACGGACATTTCCACACCTCATCCCCACTCAGCATCTCCTCTTGGCAATAACTGCGAAGGCATTGGTAAATGTCGCCCGTGCCCGACGGTGGAATTTCGACACTGATGCTGTAGAATGCCTCATACGTGGTTGATGTCCGCTTACAGGTGGTGCAGCGTAGCCGGCTCGCGTGCTGGCCTGCAAAGAGCGATGAAATGAACGACTCTTCGCGATGACAATAACGATCCCACTCAATTTTGGAAACCTTGGGAACAGGCATTCTTTCGCGCTGCATCTCCTCCTCGAATGTCAAGGGTCTGAGAGGCGTCCGCTGCCAATTAATGTTGAGGTCCTCGTGCAAACAGTCGACGACAAAGTCGAAAAATTCCTTGGCATCCTGCTGGCGATCGATAGCCCATTCTTGATTCAACCGTCCGCAGAAATTCCGAAAGGATGTCGGCATGATCACTTCCACGTCGTTCTTCCAGAGTGACCGGATCAGATTCGCGAAAAGCCCCGGCATAACGCCTTGGGAGCCCTTCCAGTTCTTTTGTACATAGTACCGAAACCGATTGTCGATGAAGAACTTGCTCAACACCACTGTGGCGCTCAAACACTGAAGGGTAGAGTTCATGTAACAGGTCACGCCAAAATTAGTCAAGCCAGTCCGTGGGAGCTTCAGACGGTTAAGCATCGAGCTTGGTGTGTAGAGAGCTGTTTTGGTGGCAGAGTTCTGTCGCTCCAACGTAGGTTGTATTTGCCGGCCGTCGGAAACACCACTATAACTGGGCCGTGGGACTGCAGGCGGAGGCCTTGATGGAGCAACAGGAACAGGTGCAGCATAGTTGGGTGCCGGTGTCCCCGCTGGCCGAACATGCGGCGTCACCATTGACTGCTGGATTGCATGTGGTTCCGGGAAGCGTCGCAGGAAATCCTCATATGTGTGCACAAAGGGAGAGACAGGTGGCTCTTCAGCACCTTCCGGTTCTTCCGTGAGTGCCTCCTCCTCGACATAGGTCCCGGGGTCGATCTCTTCCGTCTTAGACTTTTCCATCCACTCTGTGAGCTCTTGAGGATTCAGTGGTTTATATTCGCGCAATCTTCTCTTCCTCACTTCCAAGCTAGAATTGGCACTGACGATGGTAGGCACTCTTCCTAGCGGTCGCCCTGGCCTTCTGACCGGCCTCTTTGCTTGCAAAGATCCCATCACACCAGCAGTAGAGGATGTAGCAAGAGACTGCTGGCCAACTAGATCGATCCATGCGTCAAGGCCGCCAAGCAGTAGTGCAGGAGGTCGTCCATCTTTCAATGGCTTATATGCATTGAACTCGTAAAGCGTGTCATACAGGGCTCGGAGATGAGGAGCCGTAGTGCCTACAGGAGATCCGGCTAGATAGCTGACTGATGCCGTTCCCTGGTCATAATAGACGACCATGTCATACTCGTTGCGCCGCTCGAATAATGACTGCTCATGTTCCGGCGATACCACCAGGCGCTCTTCGAGCTCCTCCGCTGACACATTCTCCTTTAATGCCACCGGCTCAATGCAAAGGATCGAGGAGGCATAGATGTGGCCACCATCGTACTGGTCCCGGAAACGCACGTCAATCAATAAAATGTTGTATTTGCGCATATACTCCAGCAGCTTCTGGGGCTCAATTGTGGTGCTGTGGGGGAGATCTGCACTACTGCTTTTAACCTCCTTCGCCTGATGTACACCGTTCGGGGTTTGCGACCTGTAAGGATTGTCGTCGAAGCCATCATGGCTAAGACTACTGCGAGAAGATGACGTGATTTGAGAATACCGTGGGTTGACGGGACGAGAGCTTTCAACTGAGGTCCTGGGTGGGTTTGAGGGTCCTTGTGAAGGCACTGTCCAGATCGGGCTGTAAGTTGGATCGGGAGCGCGAGGAAGAGAGGTATTAAGCGGCACTTTCGGAGGTATAGTAGGTACGCTATGGGAGGAGCCCATACTACGGGGCCCTAGAGGCCGCCGCGGAGGTACCCCTTGAGACATTTGGGACGATGGTCGAGAAGGGAGATCCTGAGTTGGGGGTGTTGAGGTAGTACCGTTTTGGCCATTGGACATAGAACCTACATCAGATGGAGTAGGCGGCGACATTTTCAGTTTTGCGAATCTCTCAGCAAGGGCATCCCCAGCAGGACTCGAAAAACGATTCATCTTCGCATTTGCTTGGGCTGATCGTTGGAATTGCGTGGGGCTAGGCATCCGCAAAGAGTTGTTGCCAGCGTCAACAGGGCGACCTCTTGGGCCCGGACTCTGCCCAAGTTCAGGAGACATCACTTGTGATCTTGGCCGTGGAGGGTTCGACCGAGACACCCCACCAGGCTGCACGTTGCTCAGCAAATTGTTCTCCAGTATTTGTTGTTTGATATCATCCATTGTCCCTTGCTTCATCCGCACAGCCTGTCAGCATCAGATTAGCCATATTGTACGAATATTAGACATCACGACTTGTCACAGCACTCGATGTGCTTTGGGAAGCCACGGCATACCATCATCAACTCCCCGAATCGTTTGTACCATCCTGGACGTTGGCTGGCAGTGGCTCGGTAGTCAGGGTGATTAGGTATTAGATTTATTGTGATCTCCGACGCTCGCAGGTAATGCACATAAGCCCGATCCAGTTGATCGGTGTCGGCAAGCTCACGGGCTCGATCTATGGCCACTTGCGCTCGCTCCAGCAGAACGCTTAGCTGTACGGAAAGCGGGTCAGTCATCCGCAACGTCACCCGTTAAGCGCATAGGGAACGGGAACCAACCGATGTATTGTCGTTTAGATCAAGCGCTGCTGCTTCATCTTGGAGATCCTTAATATTGGGGAATCGAGCTGGTTGAGACCCGGCGGGGAACGCATAACTGTTGTTGGCCTGATACGATCCTAGTCCGGCGGCGATTGACTTCCCGCCCGGCTGCATACCACCGAGGGACTGAGGGCGGCGGGGAGCGTTATCCCACGGTGCAAAGTCTGGAGGAGAGGGTAGGGCCGCTGCATCTGGGGACATTATATCACAGCGAGGAAAGCCGAATTCCAGCACATGACCTGGAGGACGGCTTCGTAGGACACGCGGCGAGGGGCAATCTGGTCAAACTCGGGGATCGGAAATCGAAGGGGACTGGCTGGAAAAATAACGGGGAAGTCGGAGAGAAAAAGACCGATGGCGACCGCAATGACAGACAGGCCCGAGCAAAGAGAGTTGGAAGAAACATGCAAGAAAGAGAGAGCGCAGGACCTCAACGAGGAGAGAATCGAACAACTGCCAGGCCAAATAGGCAGCCAACGTTGCGGGATGGAACTGGATGAATTGGGATGAATGTTTCTGGGGTAAGTCGGTATGTAATGCGCCGGTATCGTCATGGTGGTGTTACTCACCGCCCGGACCTATGACGCCACTGCTTGACCCTGGCTGCCTGGGGCCGCCCGCTGACTCATGGCGCCCGACCAATGGCGGGGCCACATTGTTGCCTACTGCATTAGGTAAGATGGTACCTCCCGCCATCATTGCTCGTTACTGTTATCGCTTCGATCTGCCTGGAGCTTGCTGTCGACTCCCCTTCTTTCGCCCTTGACTTTCCAACTCTGGTCTGTTCCTGAAGCAACCCGGGTCGTGTTCTGGTCATCTCTTTAGTTTCACCTCTCCCTCTCCTCTACCGACTAGGACTGTACCCAGCAGCCCCTCCCTTCCCCTTGTCGCTGCTACCCAACGTCATAGCGATCCCGGGCTCCGCCATCGTCAGATTATCATCCATTGCGCACTGTCAACATGGCGGGGTGGTTCTCTTCAACGTCACCGATCGAGGATCAGGTGGAGAAGGCCACCGCATCTTCCCTGTATGTCTTCTTCTCTTCCTATGTCTTATTTCGACGGTGATCGGCCTGTGAACGGCCCCCATCCAGTCAACCACCAACTGACTTCTAACAACTGGCGCAGAGAGGACATTGCGCTCAACTTAGAGATCTCCGACCTTATCCGATCGAAGGGTGTCCAGCCTAAAGATGCTATGAGATGCTTGAAACGCCGGTTAGAAAACAAAAACCCAAACATACAGCTGGCGACATTGAAGGTTGGCTACCCGACTTCGTTGCAACGATAATTCCATGCTGACGGGTGGTTCACCATGCAGTTAACAGACACATGCGTGAAGAATGGCGGTACTCACTTCTTGGCGGAGATTGCGTCGCGCGAGTTCATGGATAATCTTGTTTCGCTTCTCAAGACCGAAGGTGCTCCGCTAAATTCCGACGTGAAGGCCAAGATGCTAGAATTGATTCAGGACTGGGCGATGGCAGCCCAGGGCCGTATGGACCTGAGCTACGTCGGCGAAACATACCGGAGGCTGCAAGACGAAGGCTTTCGATTCCCTCCCAAGACCCAGATTAGCGGAAGCATGTTGGAAAGCAGTGCGGTGAGTTGCTTATGCTGCAGTACCTTTCCCTTCCTGATGCTAACATTCGAATTGCGCAAGCCTCCTGAGTGGATCGACTCCGATGTCTGCATGCGCTGCCGTACTCCCTTCAGCTTCATGAACCGCAAACACCACTGTCGCAACTGCGGAAGTGTCTTCGATGCGCAATGTTCCAGCAAAACCCTCCCCCTACCTCATCTCGGAATCCTGCAGCCTGTTCGAGTGGACGACGGCTGTTATGCCAAGTTGACTTCCAAAGCCCTTGCACCCAGCGGTCTTTCAGACCGAGCATCATTCAAGAACAACTCTATAACTAAATCCAGTGTGATGGAGCCTCGTGGAGGTAGAGCTGAAGGGGGGTTCGATGATGATCTGCGCCGGGCGCTACAGATGAGTTTAGAGGAGGCGCAGAACAAAGGCTCAAGTGGTTATGTTCCACAAAGTACGGTCCAACAGCCACCCAGAGCACCTGCTCAACCTGCCATAGAAGAGGAGGAGGATGCGGATCTGAAGGCTGCCATCGAAGCGTCTCTGCGTGACATGGAGGAGCACAAGCAGAAGCATGCGGCCACTTTGAAGAACACGTCGTCTGCAGACACACAGTCCCGCCAGACACCAAGTGCAACCCCGTTGCCAAAGAACTCCTACGAACTCAGCCCAGTCGAGGTAGAGAACATTCATCTTTTCGCCGCTCTGGTCGACCGACTACAACACCAGCCTCCGGGCACCATACTCCGCGAACCTCAGATCCAGGAACTTTACGAAAGTATTGGCGCGCTCCGCCCCAAATTGGCACGGAGCTATGGGGAGACCATGAGCAAACATGGTAAGCCATTACCATGGTTTTCATTCATTACTGGGTGAAAGAGTCTTGATGGCTAACATATGAGATATAGACACTCTCCTTGACCTACACGCCAAACTCTCGACGGTGGTCCGATACTATGATCGCATGCTTGAGGAACGTCTATCCAGCGCTTACGCACAACATTCTCTAGGGTACAGCCCGGTCCCCGGCGGATCGCCATACCCCAACATCTACCCGCCCATGCCCGCCCAGGCGCCTGATGGAAAGACTGGAACCGAAAGCTTCTACTATGGAAATCCGATCGCCGAGAGTCACCAGGCTCCGGCAGCGCCTTACCCGCAGCCTCAACCCGAAAGGGAGCTGCATGAGAGAGTTGGTACACGTAGTGGTACCATGAGCCCTAGTGTCTACGCGCATCCATCACAGCCCATCTCACCCAGCGTACCCTGGAACGGCAGTGCTCATGCTGTTGCCTCTCCACAACCGTCGAGCGCCAGTATGGCTTACCCCAGCAACCCTTCGGCTTATGCGGGGCCGGCCGGTGCGACGCAGTTCTACACCTCTCCACCACACGTGGAAGGCGATGTCAAACCGGCACAGCATGCCCGACCAATGGAGCCAGACATGCCTTATCAGGGCTCACCGGTGATGCAGCGGGAGACACTGTATCAACCGTCGGCACCGTCGGCACCGTCAGCCCCAGATCTCCCGGCCGACCAAGGACCGGCTTCAGGCTACGGGCTTCAGCGGCAGCCAACGGACCCGTCTGCTGCATTATTTTATGCGCCGCAGCCTCCTCAGGGAAACCCCTACCCGGCATACCCTCAAGGCGCGCCGGTACATCCTGGCCAGGCCGTGGGGGATGTCTCTCCCGTGGGTGTAACGCCGGCTCATGCACCGTATCAACAGCCCACGCCGTCTCGGCCGCCGGTCGAAGAAAGTCTGATTGAGCTGTAGAAGCAAGGGGTATGCAGCGGGGGTTGTGGAGATGAGGGTCAGAGGGGCGCATTCCGATGCTTGTTTTTGTTGCTTATACTCTCTAGTCTTTTGTCACCGTGATACCAAAACATTGGTTGTTTGCAAGCCACGAAATTGTATGTACAGATGTCACAAATCCTGTGGATGGGAAGGCTACTTCGGAGACCATTAGTGTAAAATTAGTTGTAGAGGTGGTAAAAGTACGTATATCGTGTAGGGGGGAATTATCCGGAAGATTCAATGGAAGGAAGATAAGAACCCAAAAGAGCTAAGATGGGATGGGGAAATGCCTCGTGGAGAAAGTTGCTGGCAATCGCCGGTCTCAGTGGCAAATGGAACTGGAAAAATACAGCAATAATGGATACTCGGTCTGGACTCGGTATGGAAACGGGAACGGGGAAAGGTATTATTCAGTCATTCATTCGTTTTCCATTCCGGATTCCATCTTTCGATCTTCAATCTTCAATCTTCCATCATCTTTCCCTCTTCCTTCTCCTCGATCTGGGGGGAATTTGATTGTCTCCTGCCTCCTACTTCTCAATGTCATAGACTACTACTACTTGCCAGTGTGTCTTTCCTTTGCTCGTTTCCATCTATACTTTATATACATAGTCTACATCCACTACCTCTCCCTCTCCTTTCTCCCTCACGATCTCCCCTAACTTAACACTTTCTCTCCCTCTTTCTGATTTTACCCGAAACTCCCTCCCCTCCACATCTCCGTCTTTCCTTCAGCTTCCTTGTTCCCGGAACTACAACGTTACTTTTTACTGGTGTAACGCATCTCGCGTCAGCCACCAATTGCTTCTTCCCCCACGCTTTCCCAGCATCCTCACATCTCTGCTGGAAAGACAATCGCTCTTAGCTTTTCCCTACTTAATTATCTGCAGCTCTTCTTTCTGGATCCTGCTGTTGTGAGACCCAGTGATCAAGTTACTTACTTATACTGCCTTTCCTGGGCTGGTCCTCTAATACTGCAGAAAGTCCTACCAATCGCTTTGATCGCTATTCCTCCGACGTGCTGCTCCTCGCCCGGTCCGGCGCTGATTACCCCCCCCCCCCCTCTCTCTTCTCTCGCCGGTGTGCCCTTTCCCCTCTCAGTCGTCGGGTCGCCCTTGCTTTCTTGGTATTACTCGCCTTGCCTGTGATTTCTTATTCCCGCCATGCCGACCTCCAACACTTCCTCCCCAGTTAAGCGCCCGGGGCTGGGCCGCCGCGCTGTTTCCTCTCACGCGGTCGTCACGCGCTCATCCTCTTCAACTACCACCATCTCCCAAGGCGAGCTCTCTCACTCTCACTCCTCGAACCCTCAGAAGCTTCCTCATCGCCCTCATCGCCCCCATTTGGTCGGCGGTGGTCATCGCAATCATCACCGCAATCCTTCCTTCGGAAAGAACCTGAATAAGCTACAAAGACACCAGTCCTCCCACCAGATCGGTACTACTACAACGACGACGGAAGGTCCCGCTCGCGTGCATCAGCGCAAGAAGTCCGCACCCGCAACACCCGCTGCAAGCCCCCGGGGGCATCACGTCCGCTGGGATGGGGTGTTGGACGAACCACACCGCAGCACCGGTTCGATGAAAAAGAATTACTCGAGTCCGGCTCTCCGACGCAATACTTCGGGTGTTTTGGGGAAGAAAGCTTTGGTCACCGACCGTCCTCACTCGAGCTCCGGAAAGAAGAAGACCGTGGGCTTTGAGCTGGCAGATTCCGACAACGACGACGCTGACTGGGAGGATACCACTCAGTCACCTGAAAGTACCCGGCGCAGCTCGGTCGCACAGTCGAAGGAGAGTGTGGAGAATCCTGCCGTGCTGGTGGACCCCCTTACTTTCGTCAAACGCTCCTACCCACAATTCCCTCGAGCAACCAGTCTTCCAGAGTCAACCAGCAAGAGTTTCGGCGAAGACCACCTATCCGACGACGACGATCAAGACGACGACGACGATAACACTCCACAACAGCGTTCTGATTCTGAGGAAAGACACGAAGAAGCGGGCCGCGCTCTCGATCATCCCGATATTGCCGCTCGCCTGCTCAGCCTGTCCCATTCCGCCAAAGCACCGCCCGCCATGTCTTCCATCTCCGCCACGGTGAAGCCGACCGCCGTGGAATCGCTCTCGCGCAATGCATCTCTGACCAACTTGGCCTCCGGGCCTGATGGTGCACGACGTCCCCTGTCTTCGTCCCACAATACATTGGCGCATACTCCGGGTACTCAGGCCCAGGCGAC